CCCAGTAATTTCTGACTTGATGCAAAGATATTTATTATGCCCACTAGATGCTTTCCATGCCATCTAGCCCCTTACTTGAAAGTATGCAGTTGTGGAGTTCACTGATGCAGAGTTCTGGATTCCCGTCAATTTTGTATTTCTTTTTCCTCAACATAGCAAGCAGAGATTTTAGTACTAAAGTGGGTGGATGGGTATTTATATTGAGCTGTGGGAAAATGCAATAGAGACTATTTAAATGACACCGTGAGAATTTACTCGTTGATATGCCTGAATGCTAAATTTGTGGAACTATTGTACCTGTAGAGGTAAAAGGGTAATTTAGTTTTCATGCTCAGAAAAACATGATCTATGACTTGTGATGGTGTTTTTACAATGAACACACCTCACGCTGGCATGAAACTGAAATGTTGCCAGTATTAAATGATAAACTGGAATTAATGAAAGCTCACCACTCCTTGATATCCTTTATATTCTTCAAATACCTTGTACAGAGCACTCTGGGCCTAACCCAGGAAAAAAATGCCTAAACGTGAGCAAAAAAATACATCAAGTGGCGGTGCTGCTCATGTACTTGAAGTTATGCAACTGCTGCATTAGTTCCAATAGCACCAAAGGATTCTTTTCTCTTTAAGGTAAACAGCCAGCTAAATTTTAACTTAGTTATTATTACACATGCAGTCACCTTTCACTGCATGTTTCTATCCAAGCATCTAAAAAGCTACAGTACCATTCTGCATGCAAATAACATCAATCTAATAAATTAATGGTCTTCATTAAAAAAAAAAAAAGAAAAAAAAAAAAAACTCATAAATTTGAAGATAAAAAAACACCTAAAATATGACTTTTTTATCCTTTTCATCTTCCAAGGGGGAAAAGAGAACCAAATGAAAAACAAATTCTCTGTTCAAGTCAGGTCATCATGACACAAAGCAGTACAAACCAATAAATCCAGCAGTGCTGACAGTCCAGCCTGCCAGTATGCACACAGGCTTTTGAGCCATGGAAAGTTGGGAGGGATTTGGATATTGGCTGTGTGGCTGCAAGCTGACTTATCAGAAGGAAAGGAAGGTCAGCGTGCCATGAAGGGCGCCTCAGGCAGGCACCGAGTCCCAGGAGCTGCAGAGCTGCGCGGGCGGAGCACGGCCCCAGCCTCTCGTGCTCCGGGGATAAATCAACCTGAACTGTCTGCAGGTGGGAGAGGACGGGGAGGAAGGATCCCTGTAGACACTACTCTTCCCACTACTCATATGTCACTGATAATGGAAATGAATATTTGGGTTTAGATAGTAAAGGTAACTGAGAGAGATGTATTACTGTACTTTGAAGGAAAAAAAAAGTAAGGTATTACAGAAGCATTGACTGGTTGGAAAATACAAACTGAACTCTCAGCTTCTCTGCTGTAAATATAACACAAGAAAACGTAACTGCAGTACAGCTGAAGGAATGGCTGGAGTTCAAAAATACCTAAGCTTCAGTTTATCATGCACACAAATAACCAGACGTTTCCAAAGCACCATGAAATCAACTGGAAGTTTCTCAGACTTCTTTTCCTTCCATCATGGACTAGATGTTAACGAATCCACATTCCCCCTTCAGAAAAGGCTGGTCAACACTGTTGATTCAGCTACACTCTTTGAAAACATGAGCCGAGCATTTAACCTTGTGTATTTTTGCGAGCACAGCAGGCACAACTGAGAAGGAGCCTGAAGTGAAAGAGCAGGGCACCTTGCCCAGGCTGAGGTCTCCTCTTCTCTGCACTTCATTGTCACAGCTCCCCAACCAGAGCTGGGCTGCCACAGCCAGGCACTTCAACCTCCAAAAGTCTTGGGAAACTATAAATGTGATGCCTCTGCAAAGCTGAATAATGACAGAAGAGCTCAAAGGAAGTATCTGACTTGATGGGTTTGTCTCTTTGTTTCACTGAAGAAAGAGCAGAAGGCAACACTAAAGGCCTCGGGTCAAAAATCTCTAAACTGTACAGGAGGGAGAGGCTTCGCTTCAGCCACAGCTTCCATTACTTGGCATAAGATGAAGTTAGTGATAGCTCAGACAAAAAGTTCTATCTACAGCCCACAGCAGATGGCAAGCTTTCTAATTAGTACAACAGGTCTCCTACCTTTGCAGTTGTAATCAGGCACACCATAAAGGTCAGAAAACAAAAAAGTCCATCTGCCAAAACCTCTTATTTCTAGTGTGTGAAATATAACATAAGACAATCCAGCATTACTGTACCTTTTTCAGTACATTGAGAAGCACTACATGATGGGTTTTTTAGACCCATTTGTAAAGCTCAGTTCAACAAATACCTTAATCTTTAAACAAATACTAATGCAGAGAAATAGAGACAAATAAAAAGCCTCGTACTTTCCAAAGAAATAAACCAGTTTGCTGGTGGCCCTCTGGACATTGCCACAGTGTAGAAAAGTCACAGTACATAAGATTTCTACAGGGAAGGAAGTAACCGTGTGTTGTGATCAGTGGTCATGGTGTCTGTGTCACCTACAGGAAATGAAGGTATCAAAATGGAGACCAAAGGCAATTCTATAAACTGGGCTCAAAGCTGGAAGTTCTCAGATTAAAAGGGGTTTTTATAACTTCAGACAATCACGTAGTGGACACAGGACTTTCAAGTTCATATAGCAGCCACATTTAGCCAAACTCATTCTCTCTTACATAGTGCTTTTATTATGAGCGTGAAGTGCTGGGAATTTTTTTTTCTGGGAATTAAGAGATCTTTAAGAAATACAATTTGAAAATGTTTTTAACCTTTGTTATCTATTCCCAAAAGATGTCTTTTCTTCCTTTTTGATTATGCCTTTGAGACAAATACAGAGCATTTCAGACTAATCTGTCATTTTTACGGGACACGGTGACATGGCAGCCACTTGGAACAAATTTTAGGGATTGAGAAAAAGGCAGATGTCAGCTGAGCTGGAGCCTTCCTAAGGCAAACATTCTGCCTGCTCTGTTTTCTAATTTCAGAATTGCAGTCTTGAGGAATAATTTTTAGTGTGGGAAGTTTCTGTTAACAGTTGAATCTAAACAGTAACATAGACAGCCTGTTTATTCAATGGTAAATTGTGGCGATGTTTATATTCCCAAAGAATGCATGAAGATGTTGTTACACAAAAGTGGAATGGTTTAAATGAACTTTTTTAACTAAGCTCCACAATTACTGAATGCAAATATGAAGAAAAGTAAAGAAAACAAAACTTCAGTATGTAGAAATAAAGAAATTTGTGTTATTTATTAAAACATAATTGCCTTAAGGATCACAGTTAAAAGTCAGACTGTATTGAATATGAAAGAAATTGTCTCTGGGCAGTTAGAAATGACGAACCTGGTCAACTAACACAAAAATCTGCTGATACCATTTTACCCAGGGTCATATCTTTGCACCAGCTCTAGTGGGTTATGTGCTACTATGCAGGAATCTCAAAAACATTTTTATCCTGTGTCATAGTGTAGCCTCTTCTTGATTTGCTTTAGGAAACCATAAATGCCTTTAGATCTATTTTTAGTTGTTCAGTTTTCAAGAATCAGGACATATTTTTTATGACAAAGTAACACCATTTGTATTTTCAGCGAAGGGCACCCCGATTTAATCAGGGATAGTGAACAGGTGGCCAATGGGCCTTTGTTCTCGTGACAAGTAGATGCCTACACAGACCAAGCTACACACCATCAGCAGTATGGTATCACATGACAGAAGCATCCAGTATGGAATGGGGAAGAGCAAAAGCACATGGCCAGCAAGTACCCAAGTAAGACTCACCATTTCCTAAATTGTTAGACACTTCCAGTATCATTTTTAGTGACTGGCAAAATTCGCTGTATTTTAAAACATTTTCCTTGGGCTATGAGTTGCTTCATATCCATAGCAAAGGAAGAAACATCACCACAGTATAATTTTTCAGTCTTCTTGAGTGTAAAAAGCTAATTTAGTCCAATTCCTCTTTTACAGTTACCCAATTAGAATGGTATGCCTCTAAAATACAAAACACAAAGCTCCACTAAGTAGTACTGAAATGAGCCTGATGTGTATCAAAGCGTTTGTGGTCATATTTTCCATTTCTTTCTGCACTTAATCTCTCTATAATTTTACGTTAATGGCTGTTTGAGTATTCAGCATTGGAATTCAAGATACTAAAAGCTGCAGTCAGTGAAAACATCTCCATTTAAAGCTTCTGAAATACAGAATTTTAAAGTTGATGAATTTAAGATAGCTAAGTAATTTAGCTTTAGTAAGTGCCAAACTTTTAAGGAAACTAACAAAACCCAAAGCTGAGTGGGTTTGCATGCACGTGACTTCTGGTGTAATATACACTGAAATTTTCTTAAGCTTTCCCATTTTTGAAGGACAGCTGCACTGAATGGTGCAGAAAACATTATGCTGAACTCAGTTTCAGTGCACTAATGTCAATGTGTATTTTGTGGCTAGCACTTTAGTTCCCCACGAAGGTACTGCAGTGACATCTACTTAATTCAGGACAGCTGACTTTGAAGGGATATTTCTGTAAGGCAGATCAGTTAATAAAAAGTGAAACATCCATGAGAAAATGTGGGCAATATTTGTTTTAATGCCTGCTGTAGTATACACATGCCCACATGTCCCCAAACACACAATGTACTAAAGTAGAAAGTTTACACCTGTCATATCAGAAATCTGAGAGCATGTCATATGTAAGAAAAATGTATAACATAACTGTTCTTAGAAATCTGAAAACTCTATCCATTGTCATTCTTCTGCATATCTAAAAAGCAACCTACCTGAGTTTACAAAACACTTCCTATGACTGTTGTGATTTTTGCAGTTAAGGAATCAGGAACGCACAGTATGTACACCAAGCATAAATGGCTTGTGTATGTTACAAGTATAAAGCAGTAGGCAGGGTAAGTATGACAAATATACTGAAGTCCAGACATGGCAAAATCTCGACCAAAATAAACAAACAAAAAAATGACCCAGAAATCATCTCTACGATAAGAGAAAAGACGTTTCACTTTTTGTGAAAGAGAAGAGGTTTCACCATCCCTGCCAGAATCTTGGGTAGCTGAGCAGCAATCACCTCGGACATCATCTCGGGGAATTCAACACTCAGTGCACGGGACTGCAGAAACGTGTTCAGACAGAAGAGGTGGAGCTGTTTCACTAGCTGGATTTAATAAAATACAAGTGTGATAAATCAAGCTAACAGTAATGCAGCCAAATAAACATGCTGTCAATCACTTATCTCATACATCCTTCAGCTGACATCATTATATCACTACCTCTGTCATTCCTTGGATCAATAATGAGGGTACTTGTCATTCCCTGTTGAGACACCCTCCCGTGGTAAAACTCACAAATACAGCTAAATGGCATGTCACATAAAGCCAGTGCCTAACTCCTATAAAGGAGCCTCGTCCTGGCTCGTGCCATGCCCCATGAAGTACTCGCTCCCTCGGCTTCCCCTCCCGTGAGCGCGGCCGGGGCCCTGCTCCCCGCGCAGCTGGGACAGCCTCCGCTCTCCTCCGGCCAGCTGGCCCGGGGCTGACTCCCAGCCCGCTGCTCCCAAGATTAAACCCCGCCGGCCCTAGTCCACTGAAAGCAGCTGCTCCAGATACACGACTGTTTCACCTTTTCAGTTTTCTCTGACAAGTTCCAATTTTATAGAAGTTTTTCTTTAAGACTTGTGACCTTTATGTTGTCAAATGTCATACTATTTCTGCTACCCTAGGCTTTCACAACACACGGGCTCTCCAGTGTGAAGACCTATCTTTTCCTAGTATTTCTTATCACTTTATCATGCAGTGCTGAAATAGGGGCTTGAACAAAGATGCTCTGTGGTCCAGACATTACCATAAATTGTCACTGGTATTTTGCAGCAAGCCTCACAGACTCACTCACTCACTATCACTAAGGCTATTTTACCTTAAGTATTTGAAATGAAGAGATTGACTCTACAGTCCAGCACTCAAAGAGTTTTCCTCTGGATCCTGTGACGCTCAGATTGCAAATTATTGCTCCAGATAAGGCAGGAAGACCTTTTATCCCAAACAAGACTGACTCTAAAAGGTTCCTTGAGCACAGGGTTGCCACGGGTAGTATACTGGCCAAGACTTGGTTTTGCAAGTAAAAGGTGACTGGCTGAACTCCAGGGAAGGATTTAGCTCTGATAGTCCCAAGTGATGACTGAAGTCTGACTATGGTTAAGCTCTATATCCTCCCTTCAGAATTTTCTGTTGACTACTTCCACCTGTAAGGATGCTTTTTGCACTTGTCTCATTCTCCTTCTGCTGGCATCTCAGATGATGTAATAGCTAAATGGTGAATGTGATTTCTGCGGATAGCAGAAGCTGATGGGGAGGTTTGTGCACTGGATCAAAAGACTCCAGATCAGCTGGTGAACCTCATAATTATCAATATTGTTACCACTCTTAACTACCATAAAAAGGCTCTCCAAAGTTTGTTTTTCGTTCTCGTCAGAAGGAGGAATTAGTGGCAATGAAAAGTTCTACAGAAGTAAATGAATTTATTCCTAAACAAATTAAAATGCAGAGTTGCCAAGTGCAAAAGACTGAACACATGCAAAGACCCCATCTTTCCCTGAACTCCCTGCAAGCTCCTCACAAGCAGCACTGAACCCCAAAGTGCTCTTCCTAAAGTACCTCAGTGCCACTCCCTCAGCGCTTGCTGAGACCATCAGAATGGCCCTGCCTCTGCTCTGGGCCTCTCTGGCTGAGGTGCACGAGCCACTACAAAACAACTTCCATGTGGGAAAAGCTTTACATGACATGTCATTCCTCAGTTTTAGTGGGTGATAAGCCAATAGGATACATGCTGGATTCTCAGAGGTGTGGAAAGGATTCAGCTGCATCTCTTATGCTGCAGTGCTTTATCACCACTACGGTTTTCAAAAGTTACTCTATTCCCAATTCAGGGACTAAAAAAATGGCATGGAATGTACACATAAAAGTAGTTTAACTAAGACTGAAAAAAACAATTTTGTCTTTCTCTAATTCTTAGTAATCTGACTTTGCAACCTGAATTGCCTATTCTTTGCATTATGTAATTATTTTCATGAACAGGTATATGTATGCACACAGGCATACATGCCAACCCCTACCAAAACCCATAACTGTACTAGAATCATAGACACACAGAATGGCTTAGGTTGGAAGGGACCCTAGAGAGCATCAATCCAACCTCCCTGCCACAGGCAGAGATGCCTCTCAACTAGACTAGGTTGATCAAGGCCTCACTAAGTTGCTCAAGGCCTCAAGTTACTAGTTACTGAAATAATGATACAAAACATCGTTCAAAATGTATGTTTCTCAAATACTAAATCTTGTATACCATATAATATATATACAATATATATTGATGCTGAATATATAGCCATTTATTCATACAAATAAACACACTAACGCAAAAATGTAGGGTCTTTTCTTTTGTTGCTGAGAAACGTTGACTAGTTGCTTTCCATACAACTACTTTTAAGAAATACTACCTCCTTCTTACATAAAAAACAAAGCACATAAACAAGTAAACTTACATCATGCATGGAATCCATCAGCTTTGTCAGTTGATAGAAACGTTGCGAGTTGGCCACAACGCCTTTCTGGCGCAAACCAATGGCCTTCACCAGTTCTCTAATGTAACTTGTTCTCATCTCATCAAATTGGCTTTGACTTCTTAGACCTTCCAGAGGAACTAAAAAGAAAGTAAAACTCAGGTTGCAATTTATTTTGAAGGCAGAAAAATTCAACACACAGAACAATCTATAGCATTTCATGCTGTGCGGTGCAATTCATTATTATACTCCCGGTACTTCTTTCCCTTCAACAGTTACGCCAGATAGTGATAGAATTACACCAGATAGTGATAGAAATAGTCAAAAGGTTATACCAGCAACAATCAACCAATTCTACTAATTGCTGATATCTAGATATAGCCTTAAGCTTCAGCTGTCTGCTGAAAAGAAGATGGTGAAAAGAACCACTCCTGTCCTTGAGGAATGATGTTATGGGCTGGCTCCTTGTTTACACTGCTGAGGGTCAGCCCTCTTCACAGGAGATTTAAGCTAGACAGATCTAGCTGGGGTGCTTCAAAATGGGCTCAAGGAATCAGCTAAAAACTCAAGTAGTGTACACAGTAAAGCATCTAGTGGTCAGGCCTCCTGTCTGGATCTCTTTCACTTAGCAGAATAGATGCACTATCATGAGTCTTAAATGTGAACAGCCTTTTAGAGAAATTAGCAAGGAGCATCAAATGATTGAACTCACCCTTAATGGTCAACCATGACAACCAAGATGAGGACACGGAGAGAACATCAAGAAATTAACGTATTAGTGACTGCTGGTAATAAGACCATAACTGATCAGTGATGGTGTTGGTAGAATTGTAAGGAAACAGGTGTAAGCTTTAGACAATATTTTCCTTGACATGGTATAGTGTAAAACACAAGTCTACACAAGTAAATATAAACAAATAATTTATATTGTCAAAAGGCAAATGAGAAATTAAAAACTTGAAGAAATGAAAGTCAAAAAAATATTCCCATCTGACAATCAAACCCTTGCTTTGCTGTAATAATCATCCTTTAAAACATAGTCTCGTTTGAAACATAGTGCTCTTGAAAGAGCTGTTAAATTTCTTGCCCTTTCCTTTCTCTCTTGCCAATGACCTTTCACAATGCAACATCACGTTTAACATTTTGTATTCTGACAGCAAGCATAAGGGGAAGGATTCACCTCACCAAATTTTTGACATCTTGCAGTATAGGCATCTCCATCTGGGCTACTAACCACACCTTCATGTAGTTTTACTGGGAAAAATCAGGCAAGTCTTGGGCACAAGTCATCCTCACCCTTTTAGAAGTATCCTTAGAAAGAAATTAATTATGCTGTAGAGATACTTTTTTTTTTTTTTTCCGCAGACTCTAAAAGAATGTCACAGGGACTAGCTCACATAGTTAAATAAATCACCTGTTAGCTAGGTACCTAGCACTTCTTCAGTTTGGTACCAGACCACGACTAGTATCAGACCACAACAGATTTCATTTTGATCTCTTTAAAAAACAAAACAACAAAAAATAGAAGGTTCATTCATAATGCCATTGACTTATTCAGTACAGTAACATTTAACTTTCAGGTGATTTCTCTCTTTCTGGAACTAAACGTAAATAAATGTGTTTTCTGACTCTCTGTTCATTGAACTGCATTGTTAGTTACTAAATTCTTAAACAGAAGCCACCCAAAAAGGAGCTGGTTGCACAAGGGTTAGACCTAAACCATTCCCTGAAAGAGAATTAGACAGCAAATCCTGCACTGAGAGCAACACAGCTCTCCATTCAGAAATCATAAAGCCTGTTCTGAAATCAGTTACCTAAGTCACCTCTGGTTCCTCAGAAAAACATAAGAGGAAAGGAGACACTTCAGGCAAGCATATTAAAATTCCCTCACCTGGAGCCCAGACAGAGCTGACAAGGCAGAATTTCAAAACTATTCCACCTGAGTTAAGCAGAAGAGAGAAAATGATCCTTTTGCCAAGGCTGTCTCTTGCTCAGTGTCTCCTCAGACAACTGAATGTCTGGGTGAAGGAGAGACACAGACAGAAAAGAGCAATTTTACTTTCAAGACAAGCATGTAAGCATTGAGCTGGGCTATGGAAGTCAGAGTCTCACTCCTCACTAAGACAGAATTCAAACAAAACCAAAAATACAGAAAAGAAGTAGCGACTCCTTCCACCAAAACTATGTTCTAACACCCTATCTAATAGTAGTCCAGCTTCTTGAGATGTCATGTTAGCTTTCTTTTGGCAGCTCATGGAGATTAAATGCTGGACAAGGGGGACTTTTGGTTTGACACTGTATGGCCTCTCAAGTCCAGGCAGACAAAAGAGGTGTCAGAAAGTGTGTCTCTCTCATCTGTGTCAAGGTTCCAAATGGAAGGGACAAGGTCAGGTCTATGCAGAATGCAATGTGCTTAGAAGACAGACAGGCAGGAATTCCCACAGTGGGAAAAAGTTACATCATAGAAAAAGAATAGATTCATTTTCAAAGGCTTGATGGTTCTGGGTATGTCGTAACAGCAGGTTTACAGATATCTATGAAAACTTTTTCATACAAAGTGACACTCTGATGGAATTCAGGCTTAGGTGGATGGTACCCTTTATGTCTCTAAAACAGCAATTAAGTCCTTACATTTCCCTGGTGAATTATGTGAAAAGATCTCTTCCAGCAACGAATAGCCTGTTTCCCTAGAATTCTGCAAAAGCACAGTCACATTCTCATCTAAGGACGAAAGGTTCCACTAAGCAATTTAATCGAGTGAAGAATTACAACATCTTACATGCCCAAATGCAACTCAAACACAGGCAGCTGAAATGTTCCTTCTCCTTGAACGTATGTAAAGAATGCGGGTGCAATTTCAATTCAGTGGCAAGAACCCAGCTAAAATCTTATGCAAGAAGATTTTGCAATTTGTCTAAATCAAACGTCTGGAAAGCGTTAAAGGTAGAACAGAACTTGCTATATGCTTATTTCTCTCTTTTTCAGCATAGCCCTCCTTTCTTAAATCATATTCTTTCTGCACCATTCATAGTATTAGTTCCTAGATGTATGTGGCCTTTGCAAGATGGAGCCCTGTTTAGAACTTAGGTGGCACTATTAAAACACAGGATGTTATTTATAGTAAATAAGGACCTGCTGCAATTGCAAATGCAGAAAATAAAAATGTTGGTCCACTATTTGCAAAGGTCCACTTTTTGCAAAGACTCATTCTGCTTTCAAGACAGCTTTAAAATGGCCACAAATGCAATAGAAAGAAATTATCTAAGCCACAGCAAACTCAAAGATAAAACTGTAAAATCAAAAATAATGTCAAAACTTTGGCTAAGAGGTCCATTCAGAATTATAAATGTATCAAGACTGACATTTAGTTATGTTTAATACAAATTACTGTTTCTTTGATATCATATAAAAAGTAAAAAACAGTTCATCTAAATAATATATCCAACAGAAGACAGAATGAGAGACTAAAAGTTCAGACTTGATTTACTGTTAGTGTATGAGGGCTTGAAAAGGCCATACTTTCACTTCTGAAGAGGACTAAGATGAATATCATGACAAAAACAAAAGCAGTCTTAAAAAAAAACACTTTATAGCAACGAGTTTATACTTTTTTTGAAAATAGTTTTGTAGAATTATATTTGTACAGTACCAAACATTTACTGAATGTCTCAGAACAACAGTTAGGTGTGTTCTTTTTCCCGAAGATTTGACAAATTGTTTTTTCCTACAAGACGTTAAGTGCGGGAGAGAACTAAAAGCAAAACTCATTAGCACAGGCAGAAATCTTTTTTTTTTTTTTAAACTAATTTCTTGCATATATAAACAGAACATCTTAAAAATGAGTTTCTGAGTGCAATGCAGTTCATAAAGAATGATAGCTTGATACATACTGTTAAACTGATGCACTTGTAAATGAGAGGGATTGGACCATTGTAATTTTTTTTTAAGTTTAATTGAACTTTCTGGGACAGAAATGGATGACTGGATTATCACAAATTTCACAGAAATATAAAACATTCCTCTATGGTTCAGGTGATAGACAAGGGAGTTCATTTGTGATGAAAACAAGGTTGAAAACATTTAAAACAGGAATACATTCAGATTCAAATAAAGCAACGAGAGTTACATCAGAGGGGGATTTTTGTCCACATTATTTGTATTGCTTTAGTAGTGTGTATGGTATTTTGCTATTATTTTAGTAACTTTTATGTTCATACAAGATTAACTTAATCTTTACTGCTCATGCTCTGCTGAGACCAAGTTTTTGTTTAAGCATAAGCTTATGCAAATTCCAGCTAAGTCAGTTTAAGAGGGAATACATTTTACTTCCTTATCTTTTAGTGGAACTTTGTACACCCAAGAAGCAGGTTATGCAGGACTTGCAGATCTCTCCTCTGACTCCTTAAGTGTATAAAAGAACCAAACTTTTCCAATTGTGTTTCTCAGAAGTGTTTATTTTCATCTGCTCCTGCACCATTTTAAGGCTTTCTGTTTGGGGACTTATAACTAATAATTACTGCCTCAGCACATGTGTATTTTACTATTTTAGCAAATGTTTTGGAAGATAATTTAAATCAACCACCACTTTTTCCACTTGAAGTGGAATGCAGCTATATGCTGGATTCTTTAAAAGGTCTATATGATTAAAAGTGACCATGGATTTTTTCTAGAGAAACAAATCAAAGAAAAACATTTCCATTTGTTTATAGCTGTGCTAAACTTGACCTATTTATAACTACAAAAAGTTGAATACATGTTAGTATTGTTTGCCATGTCCAACTCCCTACTTCTTTTGAGTAAGCATGCTTTAAGCTATTGGCCAAGATAAAGCCCTCAGCCCTGATAATTTATTAAATATATTTTAATATATTTCTAATGCTTGTAAGGTTTGGTTTTTTTTATCTGTGTAGTGTCTTTTAAGCTGAAAAGCTTCCAGGCAGAATTACTGAACACTTGATTTGAAAATGTGTAATACAGTATAGCTATAAATCAAAGGGGATCTAGCATTTGTCCAGCATCTTTATAAAGAATAAACCCAACAATGAATCACAAATTATTTGTTCCTTATGAACACCAGAAAAAAAATCTTCTTATGCCTTGGAATATTAACATTCCTTTCAAAGAAGTTTCCATTTGTTAGGCCAGATAGCTTAGCAAATGCCATGTTAAACAGCATGATTCAAAATTCTTTTACTAGTGATATGTTATGAAGATATAAAAGAACCTACTTGTGTTGAGAAGTAACAGCGCTTTCATACACAGGAACTCTTCTTGGCTAACTTGAAGTCTGACAAATTCCTGTGGGAGTTGCCACATGGATAGACACAGGGAATAGAACGATGATTCTTTCATCCTCTGTCTTACGCCCAGAAAAGGTAAAAAAGTTTAAAAACATGAAAATAAAGAAAAATAACTGCCCCCATACTGTTGAAGGAAGTATTTTATTAGCAGTTAAGTTACCACATTACAGAAATTAAAGAAAGAGCTTATATACTTAAACAATTTTCTGCCTTTTCTGTATCTACACTTTGTTTTTTTTCAATCTTTATGGATATGCTATTATTTTGGATGTATAATCTGTTACTGTCACCCAGAAAAAACACATGGAGAATATCAAAGCTGAATGCTAACCACAAAAAGCAAGGTTTATTAATTAAACACGCCCTAATGATTAACGTGAAGCAGGTTTGTTTGTTTGTTTGGGTTTTTTTGTCTAGAGGTTGGTAATTTTTACATTCTCTGAAAGGATTTCAAAGTATAAAATTAAAGATTAACCTCCAAGTTTACAGAATACTTTTTCTTAGTTTTTGCAAAAATGTCTGCATCAAAATACTTTGTTGAAAGTCTAATATTGTACTGCTAATAGCAATGACATTATTTTGTAGTATTTTATGCCACTAAACATTTTTCTGTTTAAACATAGAAATTTAATCTGTTAGATCTGAATGGACTGATCTGATTACTTCTGTATCTACTTTAAACTTTCCTTCCTACTCCTTTCTTGTAGTTTCTATTTCTAATTATTATCTATGAAGAGTGGCAGCTGCTTGCAAGCTGTCTTCAAATGCTGTTCTCAGTCATGTTTTCAGATACTGCAAAGGATAAGCAACAGAAAATCCTTGCAGGGTTTTAATACTAAGTCACGAATTGCTTGTCAAACTAACACTCCTGGCTTTCTTGGTCTGAAACTGCTGCTACCAAAGAAGTCACTCCCAAGGAGCACTACAACTTCATTCACTAAATGACAGATTGGCTGTGAAACAATCTGTGGATTGTGGTTTCATGGTCATTTTGGAACAACTCAGGTGTGGGTTGCCCCTGTAGAAGGAATTTCCATTATCTCTTTCCACCTCTAGGTGTGCAGTCCTGCTATTCTGGCACTAGTGCTGCTCTCCCACGTGGCAGGTCAGATCAGGGATCACTTCCACAGGCTTCTTCTGGGGTATTTATCAAGCATCTAATTTCTTTAGCTGTTGGACAGTGCAGCCAGACAGGACTTGATCCAGCTAAAGTGAAATCATGAGGATGCACAACTGAGGCAGGTGGAGTTAACTCTTTTGGCAGTGTTCAGCAGTTACTTATGCTTAAACTGTTCCTGAAAATACAATCTTAGACATCATTGTAGACAAAGAAGTCGCTTACATTTTACTGATCAAAAAGCTAGCTTATTTCCCAATAAACAGTTGCAGCTATGATTTAGTGTGCCAGTTACTTTTCATGTCCAACTCTTTGTTTATAACTTCTCTTCTTTGCCCCTGATGAAATGTTCTAGAACCAAGAGAAGAGTGTGTTGTCAGTCCGCTTCCTTCTCTGTAGGCAGAAATCTGACAGGTAAATAAACGGTCTTGAGCTGCAAATAAACTGTCTCTGAGGGATTATAATCAGGGTTCACAAATCTCAACCTTATTTTGGAGGAAAGTACTTAAAATCTTCTTCTCAAGGTGGCAGCAGTGGCCCACATGCAGGGTAATACCCCAAGACATGTCATTACTGGATAAAGCTATCTCAGTTTCTTCTGAACATAACCATGAGACATACCACAGACTATGCTGGGACAGAAGAGAGTCAGAACTTCTCTCCATTTCATCCCTTCAAAGTATTTCAATTTGTACAGCATAATTAATACACATGGGAGAGGAAAGTATTCATTACTCTGTAACTTCACAGTGATTTACAGTCATCTGGAAAAGAAAAGGTCAGGAACTACAGGACCTGCTCCACTGAATATTTTCTATAAAAAACTTCATTGGCAAGAACTTGCACATTTACAGATTTTAAATTCAGGTGCCCAGATCTTTTGCCAATACACCTCTTAACCCTCAAGCAGATATGTCTTACAAAAAAAAAAAAAAACTGATTAACTTTTATCTCATTTCATAGCAGTACTTTTAGGATTTTCAGAAACAATAACTGAGAAAAATGTATTAAGGAACAAATAAATAGGAGATTAAATTACATTTTGCTGTTCCTGGAAAACTCCCACGTACTATAATCAAAGAATCTAAAATTACAGCTTTGACAATATTAGCTTTCAGAGATGGATAATTTACAAAGACTGAAATGAAGATTACCTGAATTACTCAGCACAGTGAAGTAAAATCTAAGCCAAAAATCCCCTCCTCAATCTAGAAAAGAGCAGTCTCATATATTTTATCCTTGATATTAGAATTTCTTCTTGCTAAAATTATTACAATTTTCTAACAATAAAAGGAATTTAGAAAACCAGAATTGTATCAGAAAGTGTCAAAACTGAGCATTTAGACTATATACAAAAGCCACTCCAACAACGACCAAAGAAAATCCCACTTTGTTCCATTTATTAAACATTAACTCATGTCTTATTCAGATGAATTCAGATAAATCTGACATCATCAATATTTTCTTTTTTAATTTTGCTCTTGGATAACTAAAATATATTATATGAATTCCTTTTGTTGGGCCCTATCGAAAGCCTTTCCAAAGTTACAGAATTTAATATGGCCAGAGAATTTTCCTCTGCCATTAAATTAGAAACAGAACAAGTAATGCATGAAATCTATACCTCAATGAAGTTACATTCTCATTGACACAAGTTCAAAACGTCCTTCATATTATGCAACAGCAGTCTACTTACTCATTTAGAATCAGATCTGGTGCAAAATATAACATCTGACCACTGACATGTTTGTACGATCTCCATCCCATCGCAAAAACCATTAGGCTCATCCAGGAATACTGGATGAGGGTTATCTGATCATCGATGTGCAAGTTCCGAAATCCTAGAAAGGAAATTGAAATTTACAATACTTTATAGCTCTCACATACACAAAAGCTGAACAGCTGTTGTGAGATTACTACTTTGTCCTATAAAACTGAGAACACCTAGAAAGACAAGTGCTCTTGGGGATGTAGCTCTCAGAAGTTTCTGAAGTTTGTATAACTGGCTATCTCACTTTGACAATTAACCTCTTATTTTCTTGTTCTGATCCAGTATTTTGAAATGATCAAACCAAAATTAAATTTAGCAGACAAAAGTGACTATTTCAGGGAACAGAAAAGCATCTCATTTTCCTTTGGTAAAAATAGGACGGTTTGTAACATGATCACTGTAACCAATTCATTTAATACAGATAGCTTGGACTTAGTGTTCTTAACAAGAGATACAGCTGTAAGATAATGAACACCCACATGTGAATATCTTTCTTGCATTTAACTGAAGAGAACCATATTCAGTTATCTGTCTGCTTTTGGTAGCTTCTGCTCTTTGATAACTTCAAGGATTGATAAGAATTATCTGAGTCAATCTAACAGCTTCCTGCCACTGCAAGCAGTGGTCACGTTCTTTGTTACCTGGTCCTGCTACCTTGT